GGCCAGGCACGTCTGTGCACGTCCCGCTCTCCCAGCCCTGCGGCTGAGCCACCGCCTCGTCCCGCAGGCGTTCCTGAGGCCCGAGCTGCTGGGGAAGGAGTTCACCCACCTCGAGTTCCCCCGCAGGATCCAGCCCAAGGAGCTGGGGAAGAAGATGCTGTACAGAGACCAAAACATGAACGGCTGGTAACCCCCAACCCATGGGATGCTCCATACTGGGGGGCAGCGCTGGGCTCCCACTGTGTGCGGCCACCGGCTCCAGCAGTCCTTCCCGGGGCGGGGGGCGCTGAGGGGGCCGTGGCATGCTGGGTACCCGGGTCTTGGAATGGCCTCGTCCCAGGGAATGCTGCGTCCTGAGCGGGCAGGGGAGGTGCTGGAAGCTTTCACCTGCTGACATGTTGTCTGGCTTATTTTAACCAGGGCTTACAAGAAGATAGAAGAGGATGACCTGAAGTTTCCACTTGTTTATGGGGAAGGCAAGAAGGTGAAGTGCTGTGGCAGGAGCTGCACGGGGTCGCTTCCCACCTGCCCTCACTGAATCGGAGCTTTCCAGCCCGTTTTTGCTAGTCCTGTTGCCGCTCCACTGATTCTCACCTGGGAACGGAGGTGGAGATGAAGCGGCTCAAAGTTTTCTTTTGGTTTCACCATTCTCCAGGCACGGGTGATGGCCACGATTGGGGTCACGCGGGGTCTGGGAGACCATGACCTCAAGGTGTTCAGCTCCAACATCCACATCAAGCCTTTCCTGTCCTGCTTCCCAGAGGTGAGCCTGGCTGTCAGCTGCTCCGCACCCAGGGGTTCTTGCAACGGCTGGGGTGACCAGATCCCTGGTGTGCCCAGCGCAGTGGCTCAGGGCAGTGCCGGTGCTCCCCTGGTCTCTCCAGGAACCTCCTCTGCCTCTCTGCCCCTCACCCTTGCATCTTGCCCTGTTGCTTGCCAGGTCAGGGTTTACGACCTCACGCAGTACGAGCACTGCCCTGATGATGTTCTGGTCTTGGGCACCGACGGGCTCTGGGATGTCACCAACGACAAGGAAGTGGCCGGTGTGGTGATGGAGGTGTTGACGAGCTACGAGCCCAACGACCCGTGCAGGTGAGCTGAGAGCAGGCAGGGGGATGAGCATGTCCTGCTCTATAACATCTTCCTTGCTCCTGGGAGCAGTGTTGTGGCCGCGTGTCCCTCTGGCCTTGGGGCTGGTGCTGTTGCTCCCCTGGATGTGCGTATCTGAGCTCAGATCTCTCCTCTCCAAGGGACCCTTTCCTGCACCTCTAGCTCCTCCAGCTTCTCCCTTGCCAGGGACTGCAGCAATACTGCATCAGGGAGTCTGCGGGGTTTGGGGTCCCTGCTGTGCCACGCTGTGCTGTGCCCCCCAGGTACACCATGGTTGCCCAGGAGCTGGTGGTGCGGTCCAGGGGGGTACTGAAGGAGAGGGGCTGGCGGCTGGCCAACGACAAGCTGGGCTCCGGCGATGACATCTCTGTCTTTGTGATCCCTCTGGGTGGCCCGGGCAACTACACGTGATGCCTGGTGACCCTGGGGCAGAAGGGCTCAGCTCACCTTGCGTGGATGGAGATGAGTGGGACACCGGTGCTGCCTTGGGGCCACCTCTCTCCCGAGCTCTTGTTTCCTGAGCCGATGGCGAGAAGAGTAGAACCTGGAGCCTCTGTCTGTGCCCCTGCCCAGAGCATCCCCCTCTACCCGCTGCATCCCAGCCCTGGGTGGAGATGCAAGGGCCTTGGACCGAGAGCAGGGACTGGGGTCGTGGGGTGTTTTTCGTGCTGCCACTTTCTTGATTGCTGTGAAAAGCCAAAGTCCTCCCTGGCTTCTCGGTGCATCCATTGCACCTCGCCCTGGGCTGGGTGCGCTGGTTGCAGCAGTGCGCAGCAGCCGTCGGGCTGCTGGGACACTCATACCTGGAGAAGCGCGTGCCTGCTGCTGCCATCATCTCCTCTCCTCCCGCCCTGTGACACTTGCACCAGGGAACCGAGGCTGCTGTTGGGGCTGGGCGCTGGGGCGAGGGCCTGCTGGCAGCCAGGCAGTGCCCAGCCCAGCAGAAGTCTGGTTGTGGGTGAGCCCCAGAACTGACGTCCCAGCTTTGTGCTTGCCCTCTCCGGCCCCTCACGCCTCCATCCCAGCCACGTACCTTGTCTTAGTCTCTGGTTTGGGAGGATGGGGCAGCACTCGGTCACTGCAGTGCACGGAGAGCCCCTGGGAAGCAACGAGCTATTGCACTTGCACTGGTGGTGCCACGGCTTCTGCCCTCACCCCCTTCATGCCTTGGATTGCTGCTGTGTTTCTGGAGCCAATTATTTGTTATTAACTGGAGAGCTGAGCTGGAAAATGTCTAAGTCCTTTCTTGGTGTGGAGAGTCTATGAATATATGTCTATGTTTTTGAGTGGTTCTAAGTCGGCCGCTGCTGAGCAGCAGTTGCACACAGAGCAGCCTTATTCAGCCAAGATTAACAGCTTAAACGTGCTGCGTGGATCTGCTTAGCTGGGGGCTGGAAACCCACAATAAAAGCAGCTTCGTTGTGAGTGGGGGGAAGACAACTCCCTCTTTTTCTTAATAATCTCAAAGCTGGCGCTGAGCAGAGCTGTAGCAGCAGTTGATCTCTGCACAGGATCTTGCTTTGCGTCACATGTACCTCTGACCTGGAGGATGCATTTCCTGGACCTCTGCAGAGTGTTGCATCCTCCCAGAACATGAGGGAGGGTCCTGTCCTGGCAGTGTGGTGATGGGGAGAGCTGGACCTTGTTTTGGAAGGGCTCTGTGGCACCCATAGTTTGTGTCCTGCTGTCACTGGGTGCAGCCAGCTCTTGTCAAATGTCACCTCTGATGAATGTTGTTTGTCTCTTGTAGTCAGTGAGATGTAAATAAACTGGGTGCACTTAATGGGGAGTGAAAGTTATCCAGTGAGATTTTAACCTATTGACATATTCTGTGCTGAAGGGAGCAGGGAGTGCTGCTGGGGCCAGGAGCTCGTCCTTGCGTAGCACTGTGTGTTTAGATAAAGGTTTTGCCACTCACAATCCCACTTCAAAGTCTTTCTTGCAGAGCTCCTGCAAGGAAGACTTACCTAAAAGCCAATTAGTTCTGATTAATTTATGTAGGCAGAGCCATGTGAGCTGCTGTTCCTCTGCCCTTGGCGCTGGCTGGACTCCGTGGAATATCCCTCCCTCGCCCACGGGGAGTAGGAACTGCCACGGTGCTGCCCAGGGATTGCTGGCTGGGTCTGCCTGGGGGCTGCAGCTCCCTGGGGCTGGCTGGGGGGCAGCGGCAATGGCCAGCCTGGTGGGGAAGGGTTGCAGGGTGGACCCACAACACTGCATTGGGCTTGGATGAGGCTCGAAAACCAGCAGGCACCAGCCTGGGTCCCCCCAGCTGCTCCCTGCTGCAGGCAGTGCCCAGATGCAGACAGGGAGTGGAGGGGAGGAAAGGCTGATGGTTTTCCTGCCCATGGGAGCAGGAGTGGAGCTCCTTCCTTCAAGGAGCAGGGTGGGTTGTGGATGGGGGCCCAGCTCTGCAGGTCGTGGCTTGTGGGGGAGCTCCCAGGGACACAAGTGTGCCGGAGAGGCAGGACCCCTCTCTGGAAGTTCTGGCATCTCAGCAGCAGTTACCCCCTGGCAGGAGGGCTGCCTGCTGGAAGCATCCTTGCTGTCCCACGTCC